CCAGATTTCATCCCGACTCTTAAGGCAATTATCAGATGGCTATATTGACATATGTGCATGTGTGTGTATGTCTATCTGTATGTTTTTGTCTAGATGATTTCATGTACCCTCTGTGGGTGTGGGTATGCTTGTGAGTGTGGAGTGTGGGTGTAGATTAAAAAACACTCATTCACACTCACACTCACATCCACACCCACACCCCTATATCGTGTTTCACATTTTAATCCCGCAGGGATTGGGCTAACAGCTTTTTTTAAGTAGGATTCTTGCTCCTGAGGACCTCATAGGATCCGAAAAACATTTTTTTCTTAAATATTCTTAATAGGATATCATTTCTATGCAATTTTGCGCGCTGATTATGAATCTCATTGTTATATTTCGATCAGCTTGAGTTTTTGTAAACGGAAAATGCATTTTGCCATCAGGTAGCCTATAGAGTCATTTGGTCATGTTGTAGTCTATTTATATATGAAAGCATTGTTTTTGTTCCAAAATACGTCCAAATGTGCAAAAATGTTTGCTCTATTCATTTCAAATCGATTTAATTTTAAAACCATTGATAAGCAATTCATATATGTGATGTAACTACAGATATCTCACAAAAAGGTATCCTTTTGGCACTGCGAGATGGTCGAGTGTCAAACAGCTACATATAGTTTGATGAAGTTTTCCATGCGCTATCTGAATATTATATGTTCATGTAGAAGTACATCAGAAGAAAAGTTTGCTCACGAGAATAAAATCGTCTACTAGTAGTCTAAAAATAATTTATTGCCAATATTTCTGTAGAGACCAATAAATTTTCTGAATGAGTGTGAAGAAAATTTGTTCAGTTGATTTTCAAGCAGTGTTTATCTAGTTCTAAATGAAAGAGAACAGTTGTAGTTTATAGATGTCAACGACAGTTTATCAGTTGTTTTTTCGCTGGTTTCTGATAATTAGTGGTATTTGCAGATGAATATTATTGAAAAAGCCCCAAAGCTTAGCTTTGAACTGGAGTTGGTAGCGTACGGTGACTGAGCGTACAGTATAATTAGAAGACAAATTGAATGTAAAGGCGGGTAAAGTCGTGTGAGGTACATGAAGTTGAAAGTTTTCCTGGAAGCTTGTGTCCCGAAATCGATGGATTTTTTTCAAATTCTGACTAAGAACATAGTAGGGATAGGAGGTGTTGCCTCGGCGATAACCTAATTCCAGAAATTTAACGAGCTTCACCGATATTCGACGTATCAGATATCGCTTTGGATTACGTACATTGACGGCAAATGACAAATTATTTCCAGCATTGATCACATTCTTGTGCAGAATAACATGGAGATGAACACCATTTCGATTCGTCTTTTCTATCTCGAGCTGTGTTGCATTTGCAGGCGGCGATGCATACTTAACAACAATAGGAAATGTTTTTTCAATATACCGTCTATACCATTTGGGTCTCACAAATCGAATACGAAGGAAGTAATGAACTTTTGGAAGATAATCGTAAGGTTGGTTGGATGATGGCGGCAAGGAGTGGTTAAGACGGAAATGAAATGGCCAACTATAGTTGCCATATAGTAAAGAAAAATCGTTCTGGTCACTACTGGAACGTAGAATGCGTTGTTCATCGAAAATTGCTTGTGGAATTATCGCCTTTCCTAATCGGTAGAGCAACTCACCAGTAAGTCGTAATTCGATAGTCTTCAATTTCAAACCCTTGTACTCATTATTGATAAATTCGATTGACCCCGAAACGGATTCACCAGGCCAGAATACATTCTGATTTTTCTCAGGAAATCGACATATGATATTCGATTTTAATTTACTACTACTCGAGTCTATTAATATTAACATAAGAAACAAATATTGATAGAGACCACTCCGAAACATGTCGAACATATTGTAATTCAAACAACACAGTCAACTTTAACTCTTTATGGATCCCTAATGTCATGTATTAAAAGAGAAGTTACAAAATGGTAAGGTCGTTCTTTTGATAAGTCAAAGTATCGATACGGAAAAGGTCGACGGTCTTTAAAATGGCAAAGAATGAATTGGATGCAGACTAACATATACAATTACGCCTAACACAATTTGGTCTATAACATTACAAAACTATCAATTTTTCTCTCAAGTCGATCAATGGGCTGAAATTTTCAGCGTTAAATCCTATCATGATTTGAAACTGGGCAACGCGAGCAGAAAAATTTTCTAAAACTTCTTTGACAAACTTATTGGAATCATATGGAAAAGGCCATAAGAAAGGACGAAGGCCGAAATTCTCGATTATCCAAAAGTAAACATGACCATGCTAGAATTGTTGAGTACTATCGACTTGATAATGTGATATGTTTTTTAACCCACAATATTGTAAAACAAATTGTGTTAAGCGTAATTATATCAATATGTCAGTTTGCATTTGATTCATTTTTTGCCATTTTAAACACTGTCGACCTTTTCCATATCAATATTTTGACTTATCGATAGAATGAATTCGCCTTTTTGCAATTTCTTTTCATCGTCAAAGGTCGATAAAGAATGAAATATTTGAAAGGTCAAACAATTGACTGTTCCTCAAGAAAGCGATTTGAAAATAGACGTTTAAGTAAGAAAAAGTTTGCAAGGTTAATTTGATCGAAACAGATTAATCAGTTGATAAACAACGAGTCGATACCATTCCACGTTCTCTCTTCGAAATGAAGAGTTAGAATTAGGCATCCACTACAATGCATGCAATAATGCTAGTAGTAACGTGCATGAAAACAATCCTCAGGATGATGTTCTCCGCCATATCCGACAAATTCGACTACATTTTTTTTATTACTCTCTCTCTCTCTCTTATTTCAAATAAACATAGAGCCAACCATGCAGAACAATAGAATGAAAGAATAAAATCTTTCTTGTTTCTCTTCTTCTTTACATCTTTTATCGAAATATAAAAGAAAAGTTTAACAAAAAAAAACCGATTTTAATGAACAATATTATTAATTAGAAGAATATATGTGTGTTTTTTGACACATTCTAAAAAGTTCACGTCAACATACAAATAATAAAATCGTATAAAAATACAAAGACAAGCATATTTTTAAGATTTTAAATAGGAAAGATTTCTTGCCGAGACGATTAATTGTTATATAGATGAGAGAAGGTTATTATAGTTGACTTCATATTGATGAAGATAGTTTTCTTTTTTTAAAAAATTTCAATAACAAAAGCAAACTTGTTTTGCTCATTTTCTTTTTCTTCCTATTCAATTATCTCACAGTCAATTGATTCGATTCAGGTTCTTACATATTCTCATTTTTCTAAGTATCTTCTTCCAAATAATTATATTTTCAATTATTATTAGTTGATTAGAATGTCAAATGAAATAGAACTAATATCACTTTGTTCATCAATAAAAATCTCATCATTCAAGTGAATGAATAACATTAAAAGTACGATTCTTTTTCTTGTTCATCTTCTTCTACACACATTCATTTGGTATTCATCATCATAATATCCATAAATATAATAGTATAGTT